CTACAACACTATCTACTTCATCCCTCTCTATACCGGTTGCACCTTCATCACCAAAAACTTCTACATCTACTCCACCGACCATTAATGTCCGAGAGGGGGCTGTTTCTCATCCCTAGACTCTCGATCACGGGAATTTGGAGCATAATTTATTCACCCCTTTCTCCAATCCTCGATGAAGGAGAAGTGTCACTCTATCGGCTTCGAAGGGGTGCCATCTGCTGTCCACACCGGTGGAGATTTCCAACTACCTAAAGCTTCTAGCTTCAGAGAAAGATAAGAAGAAGACACATTCCCTTTCTGGGGAATGAATATTGAACAACGCCATGCACAATGTGGCAACAGTAGCGTACTTGTTCTCTTACTTCTTGTTCTTTGTTTATCTATTATAATGGGCTTTCTGACTTTGATATACATTTTTCAAGCCAACTTTCTTGCTTCTAAGAGCCTTTAGAGATTGATCCTTGGTAAAGAAGGACTTATGTTTGAGCGAGATTAACTGTTGGCAGAGATGGACCAACTTGTTACTCGTCTCCTGGTGCTAGAGGCAAAGGCTGCCGAGATGAATGAGTTTGAGGCCCGGTTGCAGCTAAGCAAGCAAGAAGTAACGACCCTTAGCCAAGAAGCTAGTTTCAAGAAGATAAGGCTAAGTGGGCTAAGGTTCTAGATGTTGTGCTCGCTGCTGCCGAATGCGATTCTACCTCCATTGAATGACTGATTAATTTGGAGGCAACCATGAACTCTAAAATAGAAGAGGTTGTTGCTGCCGAGGAGAAGCGGGCCCGGAAGGAAGAGGGGTTTAAGAAGATCATTATGCAAAACCGGGTTCACATATCTACAATCCGTGATTTTGATCTTAGCCTCGGCACCACAAGATCCGAGTGAGATGGCCTTTTGGCCTAGGTTGAAAGACTTAAGGCAAAGCTCCAACACCAAGGGGATTCCCTCGTCTTTGAAAAGACATTCTCTATTTATCATATGAGGAGGAAAACCTTGGAGGAGGCCAAAGTGGGTGTCATTGATATTGATGATGAAATCGCCAAGGCCCGAGCGCTAGAGTTAACTGCTCGAGAACATCTCCTAGTTCAGCCTAATGCAACTGACTCTTCGAGTACCGGTTCCGAGTATTTGGGAACCGAGGAGGAACTTGAAGAGAATGATGATGAAGGCCCAGATCATGCATCGGCGGCAAATCCATCCACTTCTCCTAGGGGGAGGTGTAGATGACTCTCTTCCCCGAGTTCCGGTGGCGATAATGTTTAGGTTTTTCTTTTCTCCTGGGGTGACGAGTGTGTACACAGTCTTATGTGTGGCAGTTGACCGGATTAGACTCTTAGGCTACTAATATGCCTTGAATTGAAATTATTGTTATAAGAAGAACATCTCATTGTTGATTTACTTTTTTGTACCTTTGTGTTGTTGTAGTTTTTGTATACATTGTTGTTGAGCCGTGGGCTATGTATTCTTGTGGCATTGGTACTGTAGCTTGAAAAACGTTGTGGCATATAGGCATGTGGTGTGTGGTTGATTGTTGTGTTGTGATTGACATGTGCATGTGGCGACATAAGGGTGATGTGTATATTGATACGCATGCGACTAGATAAGGGGGCTTATCTGTGTGGTGCTAGTAAGGGGAAATACTTCAGTGTGACGCACACACGCCGAGACAAGGGAGCTAAAGCGCGTGAAGCTATTTAGGGACAAATGTTTTAAAATGTGAAGCTGGTGCGGCGCCATAAGGGTGAATTGTGACTTGTGATTATGAGGTGTGGTAACTCGGGGTAATTCTTGATGTTATTCTTGTAATTGGTACGACCTGATGATTTAAACTTTCATTATTCCCTTAACTGATTTCACTTTGTGTATTACTTGATCTCCTTAATTTGTCTTGTTATGGCATGCTTACTTTTTGTTGCCATTTATTGCTTATGCTTTCCCTTGTTAGCTCTATTTTGATATTCTGCATAGGTTATATGTCTAGTGAGCGTGTTGACTTGAACCTCGTCAATACTTCACCGATGTTATTCTTGATATTTACTGGGTACTGTTTGTGGTGTACTCATACTACGCTTCTGCACATTTTTGTGCACATTCAATTATCTTTGAGTGTGCCGGACGTTACTGAGCTGATTTCGAGATCGCGATGAAGACTTCAAGGTATACCGGTTATTTCGTCCGCAGGCCTTGAAGTCACCTTCTGCTGATTTTCTTACTACTATTTATTATACTTCCAAACAATATTTTATTTTGAGATTTCTCGCATATACTCTGTAGAGCTTATGACTCACTAGCACCATTTTTTGGATTTGTGCGACTTTGTATTTCCACTTCTGTTTATGTTAAAACATTTTTCAGCTTTCATAAAAATTTAAGTATGTGTTTAGTTCTATTGAGCTTGCTATGTGATAGGCTTACCTAGTACTAAGAACTAGGTGCCATCGCGACCCTAAAGGTGAGTTGGAATCGCAACACTAAGATTCCCCGAAGTACAATTCTTGAGATTTGTGGTCTATATTTTACGCTCTGTGCATTCTTTGTATCACCTAGTTCTGAGGACATGGCCCTTGACAGGGAATTATGGAGGTCGAGCATTAAGGTTGTAGGTTAGGGGAAAGTTGTGAATATTTCTACAGCACAATAGAGTGAGACTAGCCAGTTAGGAGTTAGACTAAGAATGCCATTGGTCGTCTATTGATGCAGGGCTTTACCTGCTAGTTTTTACTATACCAGCCATCTATTTCGTATTTCGTATTCTGTATTTCATATCTCTAATATTGCTGTTATTTTATTATGCGTTTTTATGGTACTAATATATCGTCTCTTGTTGCTTTCTTGAGCCGAGGGTCTCCTGGAAACAGCCTCTCTATCCTTCGGGGTAGGGGTAAGGTCTGCGTACATATTACCCTCCCCAGACCCCACTTGTGGGATTATACTGGATCGTTGTTGTTGTTGTTATTGTTGTTGCATTCTTTGTATGCTATTACATCTGTCTTATTTTGCCTTGTTTTATGAATAATCAATTAACTACAGTATTTCGTCAAGATTTCTTTTTTCCTTTTTTTTTCCTTTGCTTTCGACTGTTAAAAATCACGTCTTTTTTATTAAAAAAAATAAATTAGACCACCATTGTGGTGGAGGGGAGTAAGCGTTGACCTGCAACCTGTGTATTATCAAACATTTTAAAAGTGAAAACATGAAGAAAAAGGGCATAATACCTTATCTCTCCAAATACAAAATGTTAGTTGGGCATACTGTATACGGTAAAATCGGAGGGTCCAATTTTCCGTTATTATGAGGCCTCGTAAGCATATTTCACAAGGTTCGAGACTAAGGTCGAGGTTCACCCTCGAGGGTTATCGACGCTCGACCTCGGGGCGAAGCAGACCAATGTCTATGATGGAAAAATAGGAAGTTCCCAAGGCGCACAACTAGGGCTTATAAAGTCTAGGGAGCTAAGTTCAGACCCGAATCATGGTGTCAACTAGCTGTCTCATCCCCATATCTTTGTAATTAATGCATTTGTACTATGTGGGGATTCCCCCTCTTATATAAAGGAGATCTTTATAATTTTGTAAGGTTCGGTTGCTCCATACTAAATATACAAAGAACATTCTCTCTGCTCTCTAACTTATCCTCTTGATCTCATTACGTTATTGTTCATATTTATTGTGTTCTACTTAAAGTTCATCATTTATTGCTTATTATTGGCCATAAGGAGTCGTCATTTAATTTCTTATAGCTGTTAGTCTCCACCGACCACCCTCGATAGCTCCCAGCCGAGCTTCGGACTCAACCCCGAGGTCCTCGAATCGGCAAGATCGAGGTCCCAATTGACAGGGATTCGGTTTGATTAACATCCCGTTTTTAAGCTCTTATCTCGTGTCTAAGTCTTTCACATAGCATCAACTGCCTAACAACTAGCATAAAAAGAGATCACGTATTTTTAGAACCACTTAATCAGATACCCAACAGTTTGAACTTGTGAAGATTACAGAATAAACATGATGTCAAAGTTCGTTAAGTTTATTTACTTCCCTCGAAGAGAAGAAAATTTTGTTTCAGCCTGATCATTTAAAAGTGACTTTTTCTTCTTTCAAATTTTTTCTTGAATCACATATCTCGAAAAGGGTTACCATTAAAAGATTTTTTTTTATTTTAAAAAGGGACATATGGCGGAAGCCAAAGCCATATTTGAGGGGTGAAAACTCCCAATCCATGTTTTCTTATACACTGATAATGGATGAAATATGATTCTGACTTCATAGTATTGAATATTGATCCAAGCAAAGGGGGGATGAGGTTTACCGCAAGACGCAATTTACCGGGTGGACATAGTGGATACATGTGAATCGAGTAGTTTTAAGTTTTAACTCATATAATGTACATGTGTTAACAATTTTTTTAAACAAGTAAATCAAATAGGCGATAGTGCAAAAGCGACAATAAGTTTGTATTATATTATATTGTTACTTTAAATACAATGTCTGTTTTGATTGTTATTTAAAATTTTATTCTATTGTATCGTTAAATTCTTCGTTACATAACGACAAAAAATGTTAATTTATGTAACGACCGATTTGGTGTGATCACGTTGTTACCTAGTCTTTTCTGTTATCTTGCCCTTTATTATTATTAAATAATCTTTTATCCTACCTTTTTATGTAATCATTCTACTCCGTACCATAATTTTTCTTTGTAATACCGTAAATTTATTCTTCATATTGATGGTACATGACATCATAAAATAATGACAAACGATACAATTTATCCAAACATTGTATTCATGACAAACGATACAATTTATCCAAACATTGTATTCATCAAATGATACAGTACAATATAATACAATACTACATGATACATTATAAAACAATATGTAGCAACCATCCAAACAAGTTGTTAGTGTCTAAAAGTTGTATTTGATAATGTGAATTGTAAGACTTGTTTATCTGATACATATCTGATCTAACCATGCTGAGCATCATGTAAAGAAGCTTCTTTGATGACGGTAAATAAATGTATTAATCACTTGACTACAACATGTGATTTCTAGGGAACAAGTTGTATTAACAGTTGATATTACTGGCAAATGAAAACAATTACATTTCATTGAAGAAGAATTATCTTCGACGCATGTAATCTGGTTCATGTGCTACATTAAAAACAATCAACAACAACAACAACATACCAAGTATTATCCCACACTGTATGGTCTGGGGTCTGGGGACGCATACATTACCCTACCTTGTGAGGATAAAGAGGTTGTTTCCAATAGACCCTCGGTTTAAAAACAACCAAATATGTGCATAAATGGAAGTTCAAACGAAGCATCTAGGATAAATATATCTAGCCAGATTGACTAGTTTAGCAGTGACCTGATTTTCGAAACGACATGATCCACACCAGTTGGACCTTGAAAATTTCTCGGTTATCAGAAGGGAAAAAAAGGCAGCCCGATGCACAAATCGTCCAAGAAAACAATAATTGTATATGCCAGTACACCGAAGCGAAAATAGAGTTGAAGACTTTTAGAACATGTAGCAGTCTTAATTGTGTATAAAATTGGTGCAAAAAATGCTATACATAGGCACAACATGGAGATATTAGCAGCTGCGCTGCTAATTTTGGCTAAATACGTATAATGATACCAGCTTAGAAAATTAGGCTATCTTAACTAGCATCAGCAGTTACAGAAAATATGAAATGGAGATAAAAAGACATACATGACAAACCGAAAACCAGAGTATCTCATTTGTACTGTAGAACCACCCTGTAAAATCATGGTTTAATGTCCAGTATTAAATTAAATCAACAATCAATTATCAACTACACCAAAAACCAGAACAAGTAAATTAAGTCATTTGGAAAAAATAAATCGGATGTCTTACCCTACTGATTTATTTGAGTGGCCCTAAAAATAATGTTATTTACCAATTGATGCCTCGGCAGTGCATAATATGAGTTTTCTCCTGCCCCAGACAGCTTTAAGGTTTCATTGAGTGATCCGATCCGTGTAATGCTGGGCTTCTTACTGAAGTTTGAACTCATTGACCATCTGCAACTCTGATTATATCTTTATGGAGCTATGAAATAATCTGGATAACCAACAGTTCTTCATTCTAATTAGCAAGGCAAAGAAGCCATAGCAAGGGAGATGGAGAATACCAACAGCAAAATACCTGCAATTTCACATTTTTGAGCAAGCATTAATAGCACAATAAGCAAATTGACTACTCTGCATATACTGATTTCTCGTATGAGGTCGTACACATACCAAAGGGGAGCATATTGAGATGACAAATCTAGAAAGGGATAAGGCCACCTGTTGCAACAAGAGTTAACAGTTTCAGTAAACAACATAAGGCTATGTGAGTTAGATGTCGCACAATAATAATGGTCAATACCATGATCAATTGCAAATATACCTCATTGAGACAAAAATATGGAGGATCCACTGGAAAATGACAAACACACATGTCCAGAGCACAAANCTGGAAAATGACAAATACACATGTCCAGAGCACAAAATATGTTACACGGAAGAAAGGGAACCGCTGGAAAGGAAGCAAGACAGAGTATTAACCACCGCTTATATATGCACAATACGTAATGCTTAGATAGGAGGGAATTTAAAACTTACTAGACGATTTAGAAACACATCACCGAGAAGGCAAACAGCATTGACAGAATGCATACAAACAGCCAGCTGCAGTAACAGGTAGACTATCAGCTTATGGTACAAATGCAGAGAGAGGGGAGGGCGGCCCATGTAAATCAGGTATAACCTATGTTCATAACACGATACTAACTAATCATGATGTCTACATGTTAGTGTGAATACTACCATTCTACTGGTTCATAAACGAATGAAACTACTATCTACTGGTCCCTGTTGTAAGAGAAGCCTTTCTGTGTCCGTAAGTTAAGATGGAGACTTTGACGATTGGCATGCAGGTATATAGTAGCTTGTCTTCTTTCAAATGGTGAGACGAAAGAACCACCAAAGAAATACTCTAATGAAGTTTTCTTGTAAATGTGGATCATGGAAGTACGATGTTAACTTTTTCCCTTATTTTGAGAACTCAGCCAGAGTCAATAGTAAAAGCACGACACACATGAACACTGAGATTAAACTTTGTGGACTTCAAAAAGCACTTAGCGGCAATTGACAATGAATTTACTCTATCTAGCTTTTGATGATTCATGCTTCTAGAAAATATCAGAAGAAAGTCAGAAACAAAAAGAAAAAACTAAAAATTGAAACAACTGAAACTAAACTACACAATCAGGGGGAAAGAGATCAAGATGGCAGGGACAAAATGCACTTGTCATCTTTTGATGGCAAGAAGTGACTACTTAATAAGCTGAAGATTATAACAGTTGGATAGATATGTATAACTGCCCAAAAAATCAGGTCCTTGTACTAAATGAATGCTCAAGCTTGATTCCATCAATACTTTTACAGATGAGCCTTGAATTGAAGCAATACATAAAAGACGAACACAATCAAGCAAAACTTCATTGAACTAAAAGAAGATTAAGATAAGAAAGCAAAAGTTCTAATACTTACAAAATGTAATCTGTAATTTTTGTCAGTGAGGAATGGGTAGATAACGAGCCAAAAAACACAATCTGTAAGAACAACAGCACCTGCAGTCATCTACAAATTATTTGGGGGATGGGAAAGAATTAGCCAAATACCCACAGAATGCAGCACGAATAAGCACTAAACCACTTTAATGAATGTGCCCAACTCGATATTACATAATTTCAGACATTTACTTCATTTAGGAGATGTAATATCATAATGAAGGTACACGACAGATGATAAAAGATGAACCTCCAGAATATTTACTTGTAGGATTGAACAGTGAAAATACGCTAATTAGAGGCAACTACGCAAGATGAAAAGAACTAGATAATCCAACATCTATGACGAATGTGAGAAATTATAGAAGATTCTATATACCACATGGTAGTAGATAGACTTTCTGCGACTCTGCCCCAACAGCGAAAGAAAGAAAAAGAAATTTGCATGTCCGGTTGTTGTTGCAACAAAGGTAAGGTAAATTGATCTAAAGAGAACATGCCTGGAATATTATTTGAAAGGCAACGCTCCAAGGACCTGCAGCTTCTCTAACATGTGGTTCTCCATGGGAATTCAAGCCATTGGATACAATAAGAACGTTTGCATTTTCAGGAATTGGAGTAGTGTAAGTGCCTCTCTCTGTATCAACACTATCACCTTTACCTCCTTTGCGAGATTGGAAACAGCCATGAATGGAGAGTGAAGATCCTAGCTAGGAAATTTAGTTGAGGGCATTACCAAATTATATAAGAAATAAGGAACAGTACATTGAAAAAGGAAGGTGCGGTGAATGACATAAATTCTCCAATCAGTTAAATAAGGGCGAAGTAATAAATAGGATGCCATGCAGGAGGAACACTACAATTTAACTTTTACTCTCTTCTTGAAAATGAGAAGGGGAACATCTAAAGATAATCAATATCATATCCAGACATGAATAATAAAGATGGTCATAGATTAATAACATACCCCAAAGTAGACTGTAACTAAGGTGAATGTCCACCTGTTGAGTAAAAAAAGAAAAAAAAAAAGAACAATGAAAAGCAAAAGATAAGATCGATCATATTTCAATCAATATAATAGCTTGTTAACATAACATTAGTCAAAAGTGAATTTTATTTGACATTGTTATCTTTACATTCTGAAGAGCTTCTTAGTTACTGTCTCAAATGTTGAGGCTTCTAGTGAGGCTGTTTGTGTATTAAAAGGAAAAAATTAACAGTATAGCACTTCAATACTACAAGGAGATATCACAAGGAATTAAAAATAAACATTTTAAGTGCCTTGTCAGGAAATTGTCGCTAGTTTTTGAGGAATGAGTGGATCCATAAAAAATTATTCAGGCTTTAAACATGACTTCATCAAAAATTACTCAGTCTCCACAACATCCAAATTCAAAAAAGTGGTTGTCACCGAAAGAAGATGCAGCCTATCTCCAACGGGTTCAACTGACCTAGTGTTTTCGACCCGTGAAGCATAGATATATATATATGTAAAAGAAAAAACAGTACAATTTAAACAAATACTAAAGTTTAAACCCATAATTTCAAAAAGTACTTCGTGTTCAGTCTAAGAACCTTAAAGGTTGAACATATCAAGTTTAAATCATAGATATCTGCCTATCATACAGTAAAGGCAAAACCGAGTAATGCCAAGATGAAATTTGGAGCAAAATAATATGGAGAAAATCCTTACTGAGTATAGAAATAAAGTATGCGTACGCCATGAAGAACTACATCTGCAATGAGCAAAGAGAGAAGCACGGCGAAAGCAATTAGTCTATAAGCAAGCAGCCAATTAGGATGGATTGCTTTGTAACATGTCTTCCAAACATCATATTTGTACAAAATCCCTGCTCTCATTTGCCCATTCTCTCTTTGCTGGCTTCTTTTCGAATTCGAAGAACATTCTTCACGCTTCCATATTATAAGAATTGAAACCACCATAGCTGCTAATATCCATATTGCACAGAGTAAGAATCTCCAGTTCAACCAATAACTTGGAGTTGTTGTATCTGTTGTCATATGTGGCCAAGTATGATTTGAAGACCCTGCTAAAAAGCTCATTGTAATTGTTGTTTAACAAACAAGTCACGCATAATGTAATTACAAGTAAATCTTTGTGATAACATTAAATGGTCACGAAATAAAATGATAAGTAATCTACTATCATAGGTTAAACACTTAAACTACAGTATGAAAACAATCTTTACACCGTCAATGTTTATATCTTAAATCCTTTTATTATTTATTTATCTTTCTAACTAAGTTGTGCACCTAGCAATTCACTAGAATTTAGAAATCGAAGACGAAACGTGATATTTCAAATTGTAGAAATCATATTATTCTTGAAATGTAACCTTCCATTCTCATTTTCTGCTCAATAATAGGTAAGTACTTTTACTTTCAAACTTAAAAAAGGAACTCTTTATGAAATTAGGTACTACTAGACCTTTAGTAAAGTATTTTTTTTACACTATTTAGGAATTTTTTCAGTATTTACTGAAACATATTGAATATATATATATGGAAGAACATTATATTACCATAATCGGAATATTCTATTACTTGAACTTAATTAGACTCTAAGCCATCCACTCTACATAATATATTCTCCTAGCTCAAGGAGGCTCGATTATATTCTTCATATTGGTTTTTAAAAATATTCAATTTTGATCACAAATTATAAAAAAGAAAACCAAAAGCATTTTTCAAGATTCGTAATAGCATAATACGAGACAGAATCCTCTTTAGAAAATAAAGATGCTCTTCTAAACAAAGCACTCTCAAAAAATTCCACATAAAAAGTAAAAAATACAATTAGTCAAGCATTAAGATCAACAAGAACTATGAATAGACAGTAAACTTACCCAGAAAATTTCCTTCAAGATTCAACAAAAAGCTGTCAGTGGTTTACTTCCCTGAGCTGAAAATGTTTCTGTTTTAACGAAAGACATGAAACCAAATAGGGGAATGTGCGTGGTTTCAACTTGTTAGTTGAGCATTAAACTGATGGGTCCAGTGAAAGTGTGACCAAAAAGATGATGTATTTTAGGATAAAAAATGAAATTGAAACGAGAAGAGCAGAAGCACATAAAACTTCCACGTGGATGTCAAATATGGAGTGATCTCCAACCTTATCCCCATTTCCCATAACGGAGATAATTTTTAGGGTAATTTAGCTCCCACCCTCATCAATTTTGTCCCCAAAATGGGGATGAATAGTGTTCATTCAAATATGAGGTACATTATTCATCACTTTTTTATTATTATTTTATTATTAAATTTTTTAATTTATCTCTTTATATATACCTAATTATGTTTATGTAATATCTTTATAATATTAATTTTACATCTTAACTTTGGTGTTAGTTTTGATAAATTAATTTTCGTGCATTTATTATTTTTATGTAAAATTGTAAGTTAATTTTGTTATAAGTTATAATTGTACAAAAAATATATAATTATCTCAAAAAATAAATGGTATAAAAGATGAAATTTGTTCAATGGAAATTAAAAAATGAAATTGAAATGAAAGATAATAATATAATATAGAAGGGAAAGAAGAATATAAAAAAATTTGGGAAAAAAAATGGGGGAATGGTTGGAGTAAGTTATCTTATTTTGGGGACAAAAATGAAATAAAGGTCGAAGATGACCTAAGAAACCAAATAGTATTAAACAATTGTACCATTTATGAATGTAATTTCCGTTCCCTACGTATACTCTTTCTTTACTTATAAGCTACTCAGTCAAATAATAGGAGTAGAAAAATAGAATGTGGGGATAGTATTACAATGCCAACGGAAATACAAATCTCAATTGGCTGGAAGCATCTGGTTGTTGATAGTTTCGTAACAATGAAGACAGTGCATTTAATACGGCGGAAATTATTTTTCCACATATATTTCTCATTGAAAGTGAAATAATGACTTCCTTCCTTCGTAATTAGGAGTGACAAATAGGCGGGTCGGATCGAATATGGTTCGGGTCGAAGACGGATAATAAAAAAAATGGATAAATTATCATATCCGATTCATATTAAATACGGATAAAAAAGGGGTTAACTGGCGAATAATATGAGTAACCATATTGTCTATGACTTCTTGCATATGATCACTTTTAGAAGAATTCTTAGTCTTCCTAACTTGAGGAATCCCCAATTTGAGATTTACAAATGTAAAAGCTAGACTCATTGGTTATTCATTTCTATAATTCTTATCTATATTTGACCCGTTTTAAAAAAGTATATTATCCAGCTCATTTTTTAACTAATAATATGGGTGGTTAACTGTTTTGTTTTGACCATTTTGCCACCCATGTTCATAACTTCCCATTATCTTGCTATTGTTGCTCCAACAAATTAAATGTTATTATTAATCCTTAATATTTGCACTGACAGTTTTTAATAAGGATTATTTTAGACTACTCTCATCTATTAAACACACAAAAAAAATGTTTTAGGAACAAATTGTTGATATTCGAATTTGAATTCTTGTCCGTAAAACAAACAATGTATGTAGTAATTTGAATTCATGAATGATGGTCTTTACTATTTGATGTGCGGTATCCTACTTTGATGGGGAGTTCTTGGTGGGAAGGGTGCCGAGGGTCTATTTGGAAACAACTTTTCTATCCATGGTAGGGATAAGGTCTGTGTACACACTATCTTCCCCAGACCCCCAATGAAATTATACTGGGTTGTTAATGTTGTTGTTCTTGTTATCCTACTTTGATGCATGTGTTTAGAGAAACTAAGTAGAGTGGCAGACTAGTTAGCTAAAAATGGGTTGTAGTCTGGATACTTTGGGAAGCTCAATAATCTCAACCTTTCCAGTTTCCACCGCTTTTGTTATTACTATATTTGAAAGGGATAGAATAGGTACTATGTTATTTAGTCGGGTCTCTATTAGATCTTCGTTTCAATGATGAAAAATAATATTATTCTTATTATAGGTGTCCAAGGTGAAGCAATTTTCAAGACAAAAAGCAAGGCAGGAAGAAATGTAAAGAAGATTGTCACTTTGCATAAAAGATCTACAAAAGGAAGCAATCCCGGATATTCAAGGAAGGAAGATCCAAATTAGCAGAAGATCATGTGTAAATGATTGCACCAATCATCAATCCAATCTTTAAGAGGAACAGCGTGTCAAGCCTAAAAATCCGCTAGGATTATCAATCAAGCCCTAGAAGGGAAATTCGATCAGCTATCAAATCACGTCGTCAAAAGGAAAGTTATTTATACCTGTCATGATTCAAGGAATAGCCCTTGTAAAGCTCCACAATTATTGGAGAGAATTGTCAATCAAGATCGATTTCAAGGATCAATTCCTTTGGGTTTGCCAATTTTTCAAGATCTGTATCAATCAAGATTCAAAACAGATCTTCACTCAAGGGATATTTATAGTCGAAGACCAAGAAGAAGAAGGACATACTTTCGTCTCACCAACCTCAAGCTCTTTGTTCCACTCTTAACAAGCACTGTATTTCAGTTTGGTTTACTATGTAATAATCAGAGAGAAGAAAGAGAGAAAAATATTAGCGGTGCATTGTATCAAAAGAATTGAGAGTTTACTTAGAATAAGAAATCAAATGGTATGTGTAGAAGAAACTCATCAACACAACTGTACTCAGAACATCATGGAGGCCAATGCCTTTTTGCACCTAAAGAAATGAAGAACCTTATGCTAAAGCAGAAGTGCAGCTATCTAAAATAATGAGGTCTTTCGAAGAAGTCGAAGCCGCCCCATATATATGCGAGAAGCAGTGATGACTCCCCTACCCGGAGTGAGCCCTGGGAAGCCAACAGCCTCGATACAGATCGATGGGGCGATACCCGACCCTAGGGGCATCCATCAACAAGAGGCCAGGCCTCAAAGAGTCAACTGTATTGTGTTCAGTCTCGAGATAGTGTCCGACCTCGAGGACCTCCGCCAAAAAAGAAGTCGGGCTTCGGGAAGCTTTCAACGCCATCACTCAACTTAAGACGGTACTCGGTCTCATAGTTTCCTTTTCTAAAAAGAGAAATAAGCATGCAAAGCTCCAATCACGAAGGCTCCATGAAGGCCCGAGGCAGCGCCTGAGTACAGGCAACTCCTCAACAGAATTCTATCTTATACGCTTTATAAAGCTATCTGCATCAAGATCAAAAGGGACCCCCAGGTACCCAAAGCTAACCTTTATTTAGGATAACATTCTCGAAAGCTCCGAAACTTGGCGTATTATCTCCATGCAACTCGGAGGGCCCGATGGCCCGAGCCTATCAGATCAATTCAGGCTTGGTCCGAAGTATGATGATGGGCTCGGAAAAGAGCCATGTAGATACGATGATGGGCTCAAAAAGAAGCCATGTCGATCAGCAGAGGATCAAAAAGAATGCTCGCATCCGAGTTAGATATCAACGGTTGACAATAAAGGTAAGCCCTGACAAAGGACCACAACACAATCTAAGGGAGCTCTACCAAACGACCTTGAGGCCATGATGCCCAATCATGATGCGCAAGGGTAGAAGAAGATGATAAAAAGGAATGGGCAAATAAGCCAATGAAGGAACTGGGATAGGAAAAACAACGCCAAAGCACCCCCATTTATAGGGGGTTACGACATGGTCATCGAGGCTTTGGAAGATTGACCGGAGGATGCAATTACTGTATCCTTGAAAAACTGAATCGATGGCGGTACATTCACCTTGGAGAATGGGAATCGGCAGTGCATTGAATGAACTCGAAATACACAAATCCGTGGGACGTCCCGGTCGCCACAAAAGCTCGCGCCATAGGTTGCATAATTAGTGTGACGTCGCCGTAGGGAGCTCGAGGAGTCAAGTGTCAGAATCATTTCCCTTCGCTTCGTTCTGGGAAATGCGGAGACTATCTGTATGCGGCAAAAATCAGAAGGCTTATTTTCTTGCTATTAAGTCATTTCAAAGGGATGCCTCGAGAACCCGAGGACGTGGAGCCACGATTGAGTCCCCTCCCTCGGGGCTCGTCGAGGTCCGACTCAGAGCAGACAGAGATCAAAGCTAGGACAGAAGAGGAAGCTCCCAAGGCACACGGCTAAGTTTGACAGGGTCGGCCTATCCAAAGCCTATGCCGAAGCGTCGCATCTAGGTGTCCCATCTCTGTACTTAACAATTAATGTATGTTGTACTATAGTTGAGTTCCCCTCCTATATAAAGGAAACTCGCACTACCTTGTAAACGGCTGATGTTGCTCCATTCTCTCCACAAGTGCAATAATCTCTCCCTCTCTCTCTTCTTTCTAAACTCGCTCTCACTAGCCTGAGGCCACTATAATATTTATTGCTTTCCTACTTGTTCTTAATTTTATCGCTTGGTATTGGATATAAAGAGCCTTGTTTGATCATTTATTAACTGTTATCCTATTCTCGACTGCCACCGATACCTCGAGCATGACCCTGACATCAACCCCGAGGTCCCCCATCAACTAGTCCTATATCCGGGCGGCAGGCCCCTCGGTTTGATTACTACCTTGATTAAGCTTGCATTTCATCATTAAATTCAACATTCTTAGCATCATCTGCTCTAACAACTAGCTCGAAAATAGATCACTTATTTTTAGAATCATATGTACAAATTTAATTGTTTTTACTATTTTCACAGTAAACAAAATGTATTCACAAGAAAAGATATTACCAGTACATCGATATGAGGCTGAGATAGGGTTTTGATGTCCTCGTCGCTGAACGTGAGATTGTCCTTGGATATGTAACCTCGAGTTCGCTTTTCCCTGGTGATGGATATTTTTGTTTTTCTGATAGTGGGTTCTTGTGGGACGTCATTCCTCCCTTGATCATGTGGATGACATGCTGCGGCTCATTTTTTTCATTCTTCCTATTTGCCTCTTTTTCCCAAAACTAGTTTTTGGCTCGGTTGCTAAGGAACTTCGGAGGTATCGTTTGTTGAGTAGCCGGGATACTTCTTCTCGGAGCTATCTGCAATCTTCGGTCCTATGACTATGTGTGCCGTGAAATTCACACACAAAGTTGGGGTTCCTCTGCGATGGATCTAATAGTATAGGTCTTGGCCACCTGGTATCTTTAACTTGCTGAAACATCAATGTTGAAGTTATATTCCGACAAGCGGGGTGCCTCCGTTGGCCCTGTGTGC